TTTTAAACTTTAGGCTTGCTACGGATGTGAATGAATGTTTGTTGGAGCTAATAAAAGCAACACATGTCCACACACAGTTATAAATCAGTCAGTTATAAATGCAAGTATATGCTGCTCTAGCCTGAACAAGCTTGCAAACAGTGTCTGTAATTTCCATGTTAAACCTTAGCAAAGAGATTCATGTGAGGACTAGGAATACCATGCATGTATGTTTCATCATAAATGAACCTAAACAGATCATTTATGTTCTTTGATTAGTCAGTCTGTGACATTAACTCAGCTTATGTTCAAACAATGCAACTCTTTGCTACCCATTCTCTTAGCTTTCTTGGTGGACTAGTAAGTTTATTTAGAACACTTAGAGAATATTGGACTAGCTCTTATAAAAATAAGCAGTAGAACAAATATGGAACATTATTTATGTAATGCACAAATTGTTCTAAATTATTTTCCCATTATCAGTTATAAAGCCTGTTATTGTTCTTTCATGACAGACTCCACACAGTAATGTGCCTCCAGACAGGTATTTGGCTGATTTCTTCATGTTGAATTTCCACACTGCAGTCTCTTAGCATTATTACAAACTCTTTGCAAACTTTGCATTTGTGCCAGTGTTTCAGACGTTGAGCATACAGATCAAATGTGCGATGTTGTCTCTCGCTGCAATCAAAATCCTCTTGTCAGCAGTACTTTATCAAATAAAAGTTGGTAAGACAAAGCATAGCCTCAAAAACATACATCTTAAGACAGGATCTCCAATTTTTGCTTACTCTCCGTGAGACCTTGTGTATTTGTGTTTAAGTCACATCTGTATATGATCAAAGAAGATTAATGACTGTACTGTAATTATCACCAATGTGGCAAACTGACCTTTTCAGTAGCATTGAAGTTCAACATCCTCCCACCAATAAATTTGTCCAACTGGTAAATTGCAAAAACAAAAAATGTAAATGATATAAATGATCTGTATTTCTTCAACTTTTATTCATTTTGTTTCCATTGCTTTGTTGTGCCAGTAATAATGTTGCTGCCCAGTAATGTGAGCAACTGTCTAGACTGGAGTGATGCAGAACAGAGGCCACTTGTTCTGATTCCCTACTCTGAAAAACTGATTCATGTAAGCGTGAGTGGAGAGGACGACAGCAATGTCGTGAAAATTTGTCACGGGCAGAAAGAAAGATGCTACTCTGTCTTGTCAGAAGCTGGAACCCAGCAAGAGTTAATGTGAAGTCAAATCACTGAAGAATAGAAAAAGCCAGTGTAAAGAAATCTGAGCTAAGTGACCATTTCTCAAACATGCTGTGTGGTAAACTAACAGCTTGAGCAGACATTAATGTTATTTACTCCACATACCTTTCCACCATGTGACCTTTAAAACCTTGATATATACAATGGGTACGGGAAGTATTCAGACCACCTTAAATTTA